CAAATACTTGGAGTCTATGATTCATAGATTGATTCCTAAATAGGTGGGAGTTGGAGCGGGAGGCTCCTAATATGAGATTTCTATTCCTGTTGGCCATTGAATAAATACTTAGAATTGTGATATTGATTCCTACAGATGTTACCAAATTATTGTATGCTAGAATATACATGGCAATAGAGTTAGAAAATTTTCATCTCAGTGTTGTAAGGATATCCAGCATACAAATAGAAGAAAAGTGTAACACCAAAATTTTTATGTGGAAATCTTAGAAAGGGAAAAAACCATGGGGTCATGCCCAGTTGAAAGGATTCCAATAGTGTTTGTTATATTACAAGTGTCTAACTCATCTCTAAAATTGAGGACAATCATATTATAATAATCAACTCCTGGGTTGAACTTCAATTACAAAAAGAAATCAAAATTTTAGTGATGTTTGATGGTCGGGCAAAAATCTAGCTTCAATTGATGGTCGAACAGAAATCTCTGGCTATCGGGTAGAACTTCAACGTTAGTCTGCAATCGGGCAGAACTCCAACGTCATTCGACAGTCTGACAGAACTTTGGAGTCAGTTTGCAGTTGGGAAAAACTCTAGTGTCAGTAGGTAGTCGGGCAAAACTTTGGCATCAGTTGGCTGCCGGATAAAAGTCCAGCAGTAGTCGAGGAGGAGTCTGGTGGCAAGAAAAGCTTTCTTCCTTTTTCTCTCTTCCTTCTCTTCCCTTCTTGTTTGGGGATCCCATCTCATGAAAAATAAGGGGTCTATTCATAGTTTTGTGAGAGTGGCATGGGTAGTAAATAAGAGGAAGATCAAGGGTAAATTGAGGGTGGTTTGAATGGACGACCAAAGTTGAATCCCTTGATCATTGACCGTTTATTGAGTATTTGAATATCTTAATGATATCAGAATTCTACGATCTTGGGCTTGTTGGATTCGTCTCGTCGAGCCTCTTGATTTGACTATAAGCACGCACCAGTTGGAAATGATGTAGTAATCCAAATTTTGGATTGAACCTTCCAAATGTGATTTGGGTCTTCCATTTGGACCCTTTTGAGCTCAGATTAGGTCGAATTTGGTGTCATTGGGTTCTAATTGTCAAGACCTTCAATTCGATTATAGTTTGTCGAAATCAGAGTTTAGATGGTTTATGATTTAATTTTAAAGTTTCCAACTTGATTTTTGCCTCGAGATTTGTGCCCGATCAATATACTTTTTAATGATATATCAGCATTGGGATAGAGAGATGATGACCAATAATGTGGGGAGAAAGAGGCGTGTGCCATAAAGATGATGAGTACATGTTGTGGTGAGAAGCCTTCATTGGAGACGACGAGCTTGCAGTCGATCTTCAAGTTCGAGAACAAGAAGAAGAATGGGGACAGGTACTATTCATGAGACTAGGAGGGAAGTCGAAATAGCAAAATAGATATTATTATACCTTCAATTTAGAGTTTCAAACCATTGGATTCAAAATGAACAACTAAAAATCAATGGTATCTTGAACCAGTTGATTTTTGAAAGTTGACACTAATTTTCCTATTCAAAAGTCGAACCGCCGGTTCTAACCGATTTTTCCTTATTTTGCGCCAGTTATTCTTGTTTTGGCCGACCGGATCCTGATTCAACCGGTTCAACCTGCCGATCCATTCTTATTTTTTAAAACGTTAATATTTATATTATGCATATATTTATATTCATATTAATGATTAATCAAATTTCTTAAAAAAATTTATATTAAATCTTAATCGAACTTATTTTCAAGCTTTAATTAAAATAATTATGTATATACTTTAAATTTTAAATTATTATATTTTTAATATATTAAAATATTTTTAATATTTATTATATCATCCTATTTAAATGTGATTGAAATTATAATCAACGTTTTCATAACCGGACCGGACCGGCCGGTTCAACCGGTTGAACCGCAAACCGGTCGGTCGGCCGGTTACGGTTCAAATCAGAACCGGGAAATGCAAAAACCGGTGTTGGACCGCTCGAACCGGCGGTTCGATCGCCAAACCGGCGAACCGGTCCCGGTTTCAAAAAACCGGCCGGTTCAGCAAACGCGCCATTTTAGCGGAGGAATGAGGATCGGACGGCTGAGATGCTTCTTTATGCAAAAAATGAAAAATCCAAACCCTATTTCATTTCTCTTCTTTCGATTTTGACTGCTCGGTTCTTCACGACGTCTCTTCCCAGACGCTCGTCCGGTCGCAAACTCGCGAAGGAAAAAACCGTCGTCACCGAAGAGGAGAGCTCGTTCGTGAAGACAGAGGGCAAACGAGCTTACGAGCCTTCTATGTATGTTTTTAACTTTGTATCCTTTCATTCATTTGTTTCTAAATTTAAAAAAAAAAATACTCAAAATCATATACATGAATCAATGGCTGTTTTCTTTTTTCATGTATGTTTTTAACTTGATTTTTCCATTCTAAAATGTAATTTTTTTTTTTTTGGAATTTCAGTTTGCTGGGCGTATGATCTTCGGCTTGGAAATCAAACCGAAAACCTGCATTTCTTCCACGGTTAGTTCAAATTTCGGTTTACTCCTTGAGCCATTTTCGGATTTTCCTGTCTTAGGGTACTTTTAATGCATGATGTTCGTTCTAAAGGAAGAAAATATGAGAAGGCTAGGGGTAGGAGAAATAGCAGGGGTTTTAGGGATTGAGCCTAGCTTTCTAGTAGTGATGAAAATAAGCTCAATGCATGAATTTTGTCATTAAAGTTGGTGCAAACCGAGCCAAAGTATCTTGTATTCAGATTGAACTCATTAATCTATGTCATTGCAGAAGAATCTACAATTTTTTATATTAAAAACCTTTTTTCATTAAATATTCTTGTAATATTTTCCATCAAGGACTTATCGGACATGTCTAATTGTGCTTTTACATGACAATTGTGATCAGCTCATACATTTTGAAGGCAACATTCTTTGTTAATCCTTGGAGTATAAGTTCATGTGCCAGCTATTTAGGAGATCCAATCTTCTTCGCTCTCATATTTTTTTACTTCGGCTCAAAAACATATGGATATATTTTTTCTTGTCATAGATAATCCTTAATTTGCTTCTTCTAATACTCAAAATATTGGCTATTGAACCAGTCAATCCTCACACACCCATCTTCATGTGACTCGTGTCATTATTCTCACTTTTCTCAGACTTCAAAGCTATACCAATTAATGGGAAAAAGCACATGCTCAAAGACAATAACGATCATGAGAATGAGAAAAATAATCTACAAGGAAAAATATTAGGAAATGAACACAGGGGAGTTTACATAGTTCGTTAAGATCCGCCCCATGTTTATGAACAGAAAAAGTGATAATGTCTATTATTCTAAAGACAAAAGTATAATACATATATTATTTTTAAATATTTTCTCGACCACACCAAATATGTGATGCTTTGTCTTTGAAGTTTCTCAATTAGAATTATCCTTTGATTTTACATTAAATGGTGAAGTTTCTTTTAATTAACTTATCTCTAATCGTATCTTTAGCTTAATATTAGCAATGAATCAACAAAATAATCCACTGGCTCCTCTGAGTCAAAGCGTACGGGAGAAGTTAGATATTGCTTGGAACCATTTTACTGAGTCCAAAACTGCTGATGGGAGGAAGCAATTTAAATGCCTTCATTGTGGAACAATTTATAAGGGTGGAGGTAATACATGTGATGAAGACAACTTAGCTAATACATGTGATGAAGGTGACATACCACGTGAGGATGCAGAAGCATTTGTGATGCAAGATTTTGGTGAAGGAGAATTTGAGCATCTTTTGATCTCATGGATTTTGTTGATAATAATTTCCCTCATGTGATTTTTTGTATTTCTATGCCAACATAGAAAATAGAATGTAGAATGAATGTATTAGAGGTAAATTAATCATTAATTTTAATTTTTTTTAATAATATTGTTATTTATTACGTCATCCGGTTCGACCCCGATTCGACCGGTCGAACCGGTCGAACCGAGAACCCCTCCTTCCTCCGATTGGTTGTCCGATCCGATTCTGAAAACCTTGATTATAATCCTCTCTTTCTTTGAGTTCATTATTCAATTCCATTTTCACAACTCTTACTTAAACGCTAAATTAGTTACCCAACAACGTAAAAATCTTGGTGAACGGCGCAGATTGCAAATAGAGTTTGAGAAACCCGGTCTACTTGGGAGCGATCAATTATTAGTGGGTCCCACATGCGAAATGAATGCGACCGCCCAACTTTAGATGGGCCCACCAGCGTCAAATCATCTGAATAAAAAATTCATTTCTAAAAATTATTTTGCATATTGGTTTTAAACTCAGTATATAATAATTTTTTAAAATATATAAAAATATAATACTTATATTAAGATAAATTTATATTTTTTAAAACTCATTTTGATATTATCATCTTATATAATTTTAATTTTTTTTTTTAATGCCTATCAGAATATTTAAACATAATTTTTTTCAATCTTCGCATGCGACGCCGACCAAAGAAAAAGGGACGAACATATTCGTAAGCAAAAAAAAAAAAGATTTGTTTCAAATAGGAAATGGACGGATTGAAGGTCAAATTTTACGGCAAAATTTTCGAAAGCAGCGTGAAGGATATTTAATTTTACGAAAAGAGCATATTTTTGAAATAATTTAAATTGAAGCTAATTCGTCAAAGTGAGCAGCGCAGTCTGAGAATGCGTGCAACTGATTCGCGCATTCTGAAGAATGCGCCGAAGAATTAAGCGCATTCTTAGAATGCGCTTAATCGTTCGGCGCATTCTTTTGAATGCGCCATGCTCTGAGGCGCATTCTTCGCATACTTCGCTGGCATTCTTCGCTTACTTCGCTGGCGTTGATTGAGGTGTTTGGATTTCAGCGAAGACGAGATCCGCGAAATCCGCGGACGGATGCAGAAATGAAGAGGGCAATAATTGGGGACGGATGGACGTTGTGCAGATGAGAAGGAAATTTTGTTTATAAATAAGAGTATCATCGCTCAGAGCAAATCACCTCTTCGCAAGTTTCTGATCCTCTTCTCCTCCAATTCTGTTCACCCGAGAGCTGAGGGGTGAGTTTTGTCTATTATTATTTTTTTCAATTTATTCTGTTAAATTAGTTTTGGTAAGATTTCTATAGTTGCGGCCATTTTGTTTACAACGACTTTGTAATATGTAGTGAGTTAGTTTTGTTAATTTTTAATATGCTATCATTTTGATCCTGCTAAGTTTGAAGAATCAATTATCATGTGCAGATAATAATTTATGGCTAACATTTTTTTTTTTTTTTTTTTTTAATCGTTTGCACTTTAATTATGGACGTACATACGTTTGCACTCAGTTTATTTTTCCAAAAAACAATATAGGCGTTGTAAATTTCTGATCCCTAAATGAAGTAGGAACTAATTTGATGTTTGATTTTTTTTTAAGTTTTTATAGATTTCATAAAATATTTAGATCTTGTATTATTATTTTTTACCCAACCTATTTTTTTTTTTTTTAGGATTTGAAGAGATCCAGAGAGTTATAGTTAAATTTGCAGGAATTATTTATCTAATTAATGTTAGATGACTTATATTAATATTTATATGTTTTGAACTTAAATTTGTTTGCTTGCATGTAATTGTATTTGAGTTAGTAAATATTAATAAATATGTTTTGTTTCAGTAAATATTCTCATGTAAAATTTGATACAGTGAGATGTAGCATTTTATTTTGAAAGTAAATAGAGTATAAATATAATTTATGTATAATACGACAGTTACTGTCACTGGCGGAGCCAGGGTGGGGGTAATGGGGGCATGTGCCCCCACTGGCCAATAAATTTTGTGTTAATTAGGTAATGATGTCCCAAAAAAAATTAGGTAATGTATTTTATATAAATGGTTAAAATAAAATTATGTCAATTAGCTTTATCTTAAATATGGCGAAACCAATCAATCATGGTGACGTTGCTGGTTCTTCAACGGAGATACAAATGTAACATGCAAAACTTTATCTTTGTCATTTGTAGTGATCACTTTACTTAGTTTAAAAGTTAAGCATAATAAATTTTTTTTAAGGTAGGCCTACCACGTGGTATGGTGGAGGAATAAGTACGATTGAAATGCAGAACAACTTTTATGATCAACTGAGTTTGTCAGAGCGTCAAACTATTGTGCAGCAACGACTGTCTCGATGACCTAGTGTAACCGAACCTTCAATAAGAACACGTAGTAATATATTTGTAGAGAACATAGTCTCTTCCTCATGCTACCCTCAATCAGAACAAAACGAAAATATTTCCTTGCATGGAGATGACATGGATAACAACGATGTGGATTCCTACAAGACTATGGATAGTGGTAGTTTTGATACAGGAGATAGTTCTAGTCAATCTGATACTGAAATACATGAGTCAATGTATAATTATACGAACAATGAAAATATTGGTGGCATGAAAATGATGATATTATTAAATTAAGGCAATATAGGTCTGGCTATGAACTTCGATCGAGTGCTTGGAAGTTGCTACAAGATAGATTTTGCGATATGAACGGCCACCTAGTATCATTAAATTTTCTAAAGGATCGTATTCGAGAATTGGGTTGCGATAAACACGGTACAGTTGAGCCGGGGATAGAAATATCAATGCTTGATATGGATCACTGTATTCTATATCAACATTTGTTGCATAAAGAAGATAAATGGCTATTAGATAACTACAAAATACTAATGCAATGTTCTCAGGGTGGAAAGGAGACAAAATTTTTAGTTGGCGAAGATTGGAACCACCTACAACACGAATTTATGTACCACTTCAAATGTTGTCCAACACAAACACAACTTCAAGGTCGTGTACGACATTTGCTTAGGAAATGACTATGATGTGTTTTAAAATGTAAGCAAATATTAATATTTGATGTATAAGATTATGGTGCTAACTATATAAAATTCTTATTGTCTTTACTTCTTGGTATTATTGGCCTTAACATATAAACTTGTATTATTTTCATAAATATTAACTCATTCCGCATTTGCTTAAATTTCAGCACATAATGTCATCATCTTCATCAAGGACCTCAGCAATAAAGCGCTCACCAGCTAGGGATTTCCTTCATATAATTCCAAGAAATAAGTTGATATATGATGGAACAATTCGATTGACAGAATCAATGTCGTACCCTGTGGATAAATTCTTGGAGGAAAAAGCAAGATCAAATGAATTTTTTCGATGTTGTTTATATGAATGGTCTTGGTATGAAGACGATAGTTTATGGGATATATATCACGAAGTCATCAAAAGTCGTCATCCCATGTATGTGGATGGAGAAACAATTACTGATATGGGTTGGAAATTTGTACGACAAAGGTTTACGGATCATAATGATCATTTTGCTCCAATAAATATTCTTAGTATAAGAATTAATGAAATCACACAGAAAGAAGATGGTTCCGTTGTGGTCAACGCTGAGAATCCAATAACCGATGTGCAACATTGTATCCTTTATAAAAGGTGGCATACTAATCAAGATGCATTTCTATCAGAAAAATATAAAGAGCTGAATATTATAGATGGTAAAAAGAAGGAGTTTCTTAACATAAAAGATTGGCAATACATCCAACAGCAGTTCACCGTAAAATTCTTATGCTGTCCAACTCTAACCCAACTCCAAGCGCATATGCGCATAGTTCTGAGCCAAATGTAATAATAATTTGTTTACCATTTCTCAATTATTATGATATGTCATCCATTTGATTACTGAACTAATCTTGTATTTTCTTGAATTTGTGTTAATGACTTTTGGCACTTTCATTTCCCAATTTTCTAAAATTATTATCTAGTTCTATATTAGATTTAAATATATAATATGCTTGAAACTTTTTTAAATTTTAATTTTTTTAAAAATACTACTCGAATATTTAAATGTTAAAATTTTTTTAAAAATACTACTCGAATATTTTAAAAATTTGTGTTAAAATTTTTTTATATTTTCTAAAGAAATAATTAATTATTTAAATGATGAGATAACAAATTTTATTTTTCAACATTTATCTCAACAAGTTGATTTCACATAATTTTCTTCTGACTATTATTGTCGCATATATTTTTTAAATTTATATGTATAAAATTAAGATGATAAACTCTCCATACTTTCGCAAAGAAACTAACTTACATGATAGGACAAATCAACATTTTCTTCATACTTTATTATAAATGAAAAACTCTACAATTTGTGCAAGAATTTAATTTTATTTAATAAAACCTAATTTAAAACATAAAATATAGTCATACCTCAACACAATTATATGAAAATTTTGTAACAAGCTTAATTTTAGATACTCAAACTTCTCATGAAAAGCTTAATTTTCAACGAAATTCTATTTCATAATAAAATACATTTCGTTCATACTCATACTTTTACAAAAACTAATTAAAAAAAGCACTGAATGATTGCTAGACAAAGTATTACTTAACCGTACCAAAACATCAAAACATAGAATAATGCCCTGCTTATTCCTAGAAAAATTTTTAAAAAAGAAAATGCATCAAATTTTAGGCAAAAAATCGCCTGCAAAAGCACTGAATGCATGAAGCAGGAAAAAGGAAGAATACGCCAAATACTATCGTGCAGTCAAGGTTTTCTGTTGAATGCGCCATCCTATTAGGCGCATTCAAACAATGCGCCAATTCATTAGGCGCATTCCGTGAATGCGCCATTCAACTCGGCGTATCTGCTCCTTCTTAAATACTTTACCAAACATGCTTCTTCTTCTAAATTAAACTGCTGACAAGCTCGTTTCAAAAATTTCCCCAAATTTTATAAGGTAGCAGTATTATTTGTAAAATTAATAAAAGAAGCATTAATTAATTAATTAAAATTTAGAAAAGAGCAAATACGTTATTCAATTTGACGTATTATTCATATAATAAAGAGAGAGAGGGCATGCGCCATTTTAAATGGCGTATTACTCACATAAAACTTATAAGAGAGAGAGAGAGGGCCAGGTAAGAGGGAATGATGGCAGCGGAGAGAGAGAGCGATGGAATTTAATAATATAAAATTTTATATGATAAATTTTAATAATTTAAATCTTTATAAGAAACTTTAATAATTTAAATATTTATAAGAAACTTTAATAATTAAAAATTTTAAAATATAATTTAAAATATATATTTAATAAATTAAACTAAATTTATATAAAACTTTATAAGTTTTAATTAAAAACAATAATTTATAAAAAATTTTATTAAAAACTTTATTAGAATAAATGTTAAAATTTTTTTGTAATAAATTAAATTCTTTTAAGTGTCATGAGTATTTGTATTTCAAAATAAAATTTTAAAATTAATATTAAAATAATTTTTTGATATTCAAAAATATTTAATATATTTAAAATAATATAAATTTATTGTTTAAAGATATTACTTTAAGATATAATATATTAAATTACAATTTTTATTTAAAATATATAAAATAATATTTAATTAATTTTTTTAATTTAGATGTTTAATATTTTCTTGAAAATTTTAACCCAAAAAATATTAAACAAATAAATCATTATTTAATTTATAAAAATATATATATAAATTTATACAAGGAGAGAGGTAGCATTGTTTAATACCACACTTCTTCTTCTATCATTCTCTTTCTACCTTTTTTCATATCTCTATCTAAAACTCTGCCAACTTTTCTCATCTCATCTCGCTTCATCTTTTTTCTATTGTTCTGAACACGCCAAAATAATTAGATGTATCATAATGCACCAGAAAACTTGGCGTATTCTAATTCATTTAGCGAATTAGTTTTTTAAAAAATTTTAAAATAAATAAGCTGCTTTTGTTATTATGGATAATTAACATGTTGCTTTTAAAAAATTGCCCCGGATTGAAACTTTTTAATAAAAAATTCTTCTAAACGAGTAGAGTCGTCAAGAAAGCAAACTCTTTGAGAATCCTCATGCCATACAGAATTACATTATTAATTTTTTAAATATTATTTAATATTATTTATTTTTAAATGCAAAATAAATGTACACATTTTTTTAAATAATTAATAAAAACTAATGGAATGCATCACTGCCAAAAAATGTTGAGATCATTTTAACATAAATTAAATAAACCCAATATTTATTATAAATTACTCCAAATATATAATAATATAATTAAAATTTTAAAATAATGACTTGAAACCGAATACTTAAGATTTTAACGTGTAATAAATTCTTTTAATAATTTGTATTACTAACTTACATGAATAATCCTAACTTAGAAAAAACATACATGCCTTTAGTTTCAATATATTCTTCATATATTTATAAAATTAAACTATCACACACACACACAATACACACATAATATATTTTTTTTATTATATTATATATATTATATTTGAGTTGGCCACACTATATAGTCTAAGCAAACTTTAGATCAAAATCTTATATATCGGGTCTATTAAGAGAATTGTTCTACTCAAGGCTAATACTCTATTTCTGATTTCAATTCTTATATATTTCTTTGAAAAACAATAAGGTGAAAAAATATTTTAATGAGTATAATAAACTTTCCATCGAGTAACTTCTAATATGTTATAACATATTTTATTTTGGTTATTTTAATTATAAAATAAGAAACTTTTCATCGATTGATTTTACCTTAATGATGAATTTCTTAGTATTTTTTTCTTAAAATTGGCACTTTCGACATTGCTTATGATTCATGAAAGGTTCTATAATGGTGTTTTAAAGACCATTTATAAATGATTATCTAAATAAGAAATTTTAAAATATGAGCCAATTATACATGCATTATCCTTTGTTGTTTGGCATACTTGTGTTCACGTTCATGTTCAACATTTTGTATACTTGTTAATTCTACAAATCTTTGCATATGAATCCATGATCATATGGTGGAAGTTCTGATGTGAGAGACTGATAAAGCGCACTATAAGTTTTGTTATATGGGTCTAGCTATATGTTATGTTTTCCTTCTGATTCTTGTCCTATCTGTCGTGTATGAATGAGGAAGGTCATTTCTGGCCCCGTCTGCTTATGCATGTGTGGAAGGTTCAAGGAAGTCATAAATAAAAGATGTTATAAGGCATTTCAAAATGGTCTCCTTCATCTAGTGGAGGTTGACTACGAAAGTTATAAGTGAAAGTGGAGCTCTAAGTAGGTAGTGGGACATGCATATTGTCACTCCCTAGAGTCAAAGTCAGAAGAATTTAATTTAAACATCATGAGCTAACTATTTTCATATGAACAACAAAATATAAATGGAAAAAATGTAAATTCATTTGTATAATATTTAATATTTATAATTGATGCAAGCCCAAAATAACATATGTACAATAGTCATGATACAAAATAAATTGGCTCATCATTACTGCAAAAGAATGACTAATAAGTGCATAATGGAAAACTAAGTATGTTGTCTAGAGACTCACTTCACATGATTCTTACTCTTATCTGAAAATATGTAAAAATTATACCAAGTCCAGTAAGCTACCAATATCTATAACTAAAGGCAATACATCAACAAATATAAGAAATATATAATTGTATGAACATATAGAATTCAATATGAAAATATCATATATATATCATGTTATTCATATATAGTATCATCATATACACATCACCCATATATGGTCACATCACCATCCTATCAATTCGCTGCATACCAATCATGTCAATCAAATAATCAATCACACAAATCAATCATATCATCAATTAATTAACCACTGTATATTATATCTCAAGTATCATTAATCTTATCCATCATCAATTATAGATAACATATTTCATCAATATATCTATCATATCAGTCATAAGTGTATCACATTAATTTGTTATCGATCTATCTATCATATATGTTATCATTTATCTATCATATATATCATCAGTCTTATAAGTCGTATATATATATATCATTTGTTATCCATCATATTGATCATCGATCTTATCATATCTATCATCAATCTTATTAGTCACCAATTTCCAATCATCAGTCCTATTTTATTCATCATCCTTATCAATCATATAACACATCAGTTCATTCATTTTGCATGTTCTTACACTATATTCATATTATGGGGATCATAATAACAGACACATTGTACATATCATATCCAACAATCATAACATATAGATATATATAATATACTCATCAATATGCATGTATTATATCAAATGAGTAGTAATAATATGCATGTTAAGTATTTCATATCTAAATGTAGTACATTAGTACCTGATCATTTTGTACCCATTATTTTCCTACTTATTTCATTTAAAATATCATATAAGCCAAACCATCCCGCAAAAAATTCAATATAAGTCACTCAAAGTATTTAGATTAACGATGTATAACATATATCAAAAGTTACATGGTGAAAGTTTATTAAAATTGGAGATATCATATT